AAGCAGACCACATACCCAAAGGCAGCTACTCAGCTGCTCCCAGTAGATTCCACCATGGAGTTGATTGCCAGTCTCATCATGGGGAATACTACATCCAGCTGTCCAACCACTCAACCAGGCCCAGCAAAGTTGACACACAAACATAACCATCACAACCCCCTTTCTAGTATCAGTCAGGATTGATTCCTTTCCACTTCTCATTGCTTTCTGTCTTCCCATTTTCTCCTTTTCTTTATTTAAATTATTTTAGTTTGAAATGTTTTTCCACATGAATACATTAAATCAGTACATACAGTATGAACACTAATAAAACACTATCTTTGTTAAGAAATACAGAATATTACCAAAAGGCTGAAATCAAAGTGCCAGCTAGTTTGGACTTTTTATCCAGAAGCTTTCTGGAGTAGAATTTACTTCTAGGCTCATTCAGGCTCTTGGCAGAATTCAAGCCTATGTGGTTATAAGACTGAGGGCTCTGTTTCCTTGTTGGCTGGGGGGGTTAGTCTCAGATGATTTAGGGTGCTCTTCAGTCGGCATGTGTCTCCACCCTATTTTCAAAACCAGCAGTAGAGTTTTGAATCTTATCAGTGCTGTGAATTACTGACTTTCTTTTTTGCCATCAGCTGATAAAAGTTCTTTGGTTTAAGGTCTCATGTGATTGGATCAGGCTCACCTGAATAATCTCCCTATAATAAAGTCAACTGTGTCATGTACTATTACACAGTAATGACAGTGATATCTCACCATATTCATAGATCCAGGGTGAATTCTTTGGGGAGATCATAATTCTACCTACCACAGGGACTGACAAACTGATTGAAAGCTGTGATTGCTTGCATAGGATTTGTGAGCTTTTACCTCTAATTTAGGGTATCTTGGTGAGCCATTAATTGGGGAATCTGTGATGTATCAGTATCTTAAGCCTTTCATCTTGGGTTGACCAGATTCCCCAGAGAAAAGTCTCTCAATCTCTGGAGTGTAAAAGTCTGGTTACCAGTATTCTGGTAGCCAATTGGGGGAAGCCAAACCAAAGCAAACTCGCTGTCATTAAGTTGATTGCTTCATCTTCCTCCTGTGGAGTAGCAGCTGGTGGGTTTGAACTGCTAACCTTCTGGTTAGCATCCACATGCCTTACACACTGTGCCACCATTCTGCATTTGACATTCATCATGAACATGCTGACTTAATCTTCTTGTTTTCCACATGGTAGCCATGTCTTCAACTGTGCTTGGTGTTCCGTAGTTCAGAGATCCTCTTTTATCTTTGCTAGAGACCAAAACTCTAATCTTCTGGGACAGGGGAGAAGCAATTACCCAGTGACGTGGAATGGAGGGTGGGGGGCAGGGACTTAAATATATAACTGCTTCTCAAAACCAGTTAAGGATTCAGCTTTTTCAGCTATGCTAAGTTAGTTATTAACTGAAATATGATATTGGTGATAGAAATGATACCAGAGACTACACGGTAGAATTTTGCAAAACCAACAAATTATCCATTGCAAATACCTTTTTTTCAACAACATAAATGGTGACTATTCTTGTGGACCTTGTTAGATGGAATACACTAGAGTCAAATTTGCTACATCTGTGGTAAAAAGCAATGGAGAAGTTCAGTGTCATCAGTCAGAACAAGTCCAGGAGCTGGCTTTGAAACAAACCATCAATCGGTCATAAGCAAGTTCAAGTTGAAACTGAAGAAAATTAAAACAAGTCCACAAGAGTCAAAGTAAGACCTTCATTACATCCCACTTGAGTTTAGAAAACATCTGAAGAATAGATTTGACACATTGAACATCAGTGACTGAATATAAGACAGGTTTTTGGACAACATAAACATCATATAAGAAGCAGGCAAAAAGTCATTAAAAAGACAGGAAAGTGAGAAAAAGGCAAAATGGATGTCAGAAGAGACTCTGAAACTTGGTCTTGAACGTATAGTACCTAAAGCAAGTGGAAGAAATGATGAAATAAAAGAGCTGAATAGGAGATTCCAAAGGGCAGCTTGAGAAGACAAGAGTATTATAATGAAATGTGCTATGGCCTGGCATTGGAAAAGCAGAAGAGAAGAATACATTTCACGTTTCTCAAGCTGAAAGAACTGAAGAAAAAATATAAGCCTCAAGTTGCAATCTTGGAGGATTCTATGGGTAAAATGTTGAATGATGTAGGAAGTGTCAAAAGAAGATGGAAGGAATACACAGAGTGACTGTACCATAAAGAGTTGGTCAGTGTTCAACCACTTCACAAGGCAGAACATAATCAAAAACTGATTGTATCGAAGGAAGAAGTCCAAGCTACATTGAAGAAATTGATGAAAAACAAGGCTCCAGGAATTGATGTAATATCCATTGAGAGGTTTCAACGAATGGAAGCAGTGCTGGAGACACTCACTCATTTATGTCAAGAAATTTGGAATACAGCTACCTGGCCAATCAACTGGAAGAAAACTGTATTTGTGCTCACTCCAAAGAAGAGTGATCCAACAGAAAGTGGAAATTATCAAATCATATCATTAATATCACATGCAAGTAAAATTTTGCTGAAGATAATTAAAAAATGGCTGCAGCATTACGTTGACAGGGAGCTGCCAGGAATTCAAGCTGGATTCAGCCCTAGGACATGATGGACCTTGAGACCAGAAGAACTAGATGGTGCCAGGCTATCAATGCCAACCATTCAGGAAGGGATCAAAAGTGGAGATCCTGGGTAGAGTGGGAGGAAAACACAGAACAAAATCCAAAAAGACAATAATGACCAGAATTACTTGTCTGATGGGAGTCTGGTGGGACCCCCAGGACTATGGCCCTGGGTTGACTTCAGGCTTGGGATAAAACTCACTACCAAGGGCTGGCTCTTAAAGTAAATAAGACTTACATGGAGAACAGTCAACCTAGGGTGATGCACCCAC